GTTCTCTCCTGGAGGGGCCATCCATCAGGCCTGGCACCAGGGTTTGGGGAGATTTGAAAGAGGTTCCAGGAAATGATTCGTGGCGAAAGGGGGGGGGGGGGGGCGGGGGGGTTCTGATCCAGGCCGAAATCAGGCTCCCTGTTATTGCCCAAGTCCTGGCAGGTTGCATGGCCTGGGCGTTTGCCCTGGGAGGCTGGTGGTATGCCAGCCACAGCACAATCCTAGGGTCTGCCCAGTGCTGCCCTGCTGAGCTGGCAGCTCGGGGGCCTGGAGGGCGCTCCTGCTGCCTGGCACAGACGCGCGTGGGCTGGTGCGAATGGGAGTGGGTACTGTTGCTGCGAACCCTGCTGGAAGGGAGGGGGGGGGGCTTGAGGTAAGTTCTCTAATCATCTGCTCTTTGGAAGAGGAGGATGGAGTGAGCCACACCAGGTGCCAAACAGGACGTTGTATGGGAGTGGGGTTTAGGATCTTTGACATGAATCTTTGCAGCCAAGTTGAAGAATAAAAATGGATGTGAAGGGAAAGATGAATGTGAAGAGATCTAGGCATAACCGGGAGGTGAAGGGGTTGTTCCCTGTTAAAATACACAGACATTTCCCCAGAATGGTATCTCCCAACATGCAGACCAAGAGAAAACGACTTCTGTAATGTATTCATAATTCAAACTGGGATTACTCATGGTTTTCTGGGCTGTAAGGTCTTAGTTTTTTCTGGCCTTGTTACTTTATTGTATTTAAGTCTCTGCTTGGGCTTTCTCTTCACAACTCTGTCCATGCATGGCTGTTAGACATGCGACACATTTTAAAGGAAACTTGAGCTCTCGGGAAAGTTGCCAAGTATCTATAAAAGGAGAGATCTGAGAGCAGCATTTCAGATTCTTTCCTTGTAAACCTTGGGTGTCCTTTTTTTTTTTTTTTTTTTTTTTTTAAATATATTTTATTGATTTCTTACAGAGAGGAAGGGAGAGAGATAGAGAGTTAGAAACATCGATGAGAGAGAAACATCGATCAGCTGCCTCCTGCACATCTCCTACTGGGGATGTGCCCGCAACCCAGGTACATGCCCTTGACCGGAATCGAACCTGGGACCCTTCAGTCCGCAGGCCGACGCTCTATCCACTGAGCCAAACCGGTTTCGGCATGTCCTTTTTTTTTTATTCATAAGCCTACATCACCATAGAGATTGTTTTTGGATTAGACCAACCTTTAATTCGGTTGATGGATTTATCCCTGAGTTTTCATCTTAGATTAAGGGGTAGATGAGAGATCTTCCTGCAGGAGACCAGAGCTGGAAGTTAGGTCTTGAGGTAACCATGGCGTTTGGAAATGCCGACTCTTGACCTTCAAGCTGTTCAGGTATTTCAGTGACAGCTAAGCTGCTAGGGCTGTCAGCGAGGCTCAGCAGGAGAGGGGATTTGCAGGCATTTATTATTCTGTTGAGTATCTCACACATATTGTTGGGAGCTGAGGTTGCAAAGATTAAAAAAAAAACTGTTGAGGTTGAAGAGACAAATAATTAGAGTCTAATGTTAGAAGTGCAAAAATAGAAGCAAGAGCCAAGTGCTGTGGAGCACTTGCTAGAATTTTATCTTATACCTGTTTATATAAGCCTCTGTGTTTATGTTCACTTTCCATGATAAGTTTTAGTACGTACTGTTCTCTCTGGGAACCTTTGGACACCGTGTTACCTGTTACTTATTAAGAGGCCCAGTCAGGGTCGATTCTGACAGCTTGGGAAGCTTAAGTGGGAGTCCTTTTAGTGCAGAGTCAGGCTCATGAGGATCTGAGATGTTTGTAGGTGATGGTAGTAGTTTCCAGTCTGTGCCAGGAAGCAGAGATGGCACAGTGGGTAAGAGCATGGTAACCCATTTTCTTTTTCTTTTTTCTTCCTTTTTTATAGCAAAGGTGGAAATTTATTAAAGAACAAGTACAAATTCCCACGTGGGGAAGGGGAAAGAATCCCACAACACAGACTCCCACGTGGGGAGGGGAGTCCCCATAACCCATTTTTAACCCCTAGTCAGCTTATGAGTAAAATAATGCCGAGGTGACACGTGAACTCATTTTTTTGGTTGATTTTTCTTTGTTAAATGGCATTTAAATATATAAAATAAATATCAAAAATATAAATCTTTGTTTTACTATGGTTGCAAATATCAAAAACTTTCTATATGTGACACGGCACCAGAGTTAAGTTAGGGTTTTCAAAATGCTGACACGCCGAGCCATCACTGTTCTAGAGGCTGGAAGTCTGAGATGAGGGTGCTTGGGTGGTGGAAGGGGCTAAGGAGCTGTCTGGAGCCTCTTTTATGAGGCACTAATCCTACTTGTGAGGGCTCCACCTTCCAAAGGGCCCGCCTCCTAATACCATAATTTTTGGGCGTTAGGATTTCAACATATGGATTTGAGGGGAACACACACATTGAGACCAGCACTCGGGCAGTTTTATTATTGTCATTTTCCTTGTTGGCCTCCTGTTGTCTTGAGCCCTGTGATAGCCCTTGTGTTCTTATCTTGCTGCCATTCTTCTTTGCCTCAAATGGCCTTGTTAGAATATCTGGAATGCTTTCAGCCTCTGTCAGCCCTTTGAAGGGCTCATTCATCTAATTCTTTGCACTGTTAGCTTAGTTATGGATCTGCAATGGACTGGCTATCACTGGGCAAACCTGTGCTTCTTCCTGGGCTCCCAACATGTACATGTGACAGCCTACAAGCATCTCTACTTGGAAGACCCACAGTTGCTTCTCTCTCACGGCCTAAACTGAACCGCCTCGCCACCACCATATGTCTTCTGGGCTCCACCGTCTGTCCCCCAACATGCAGTCACCAAGCCCCATCAAGTCAGCCTTCTAAATAAATGTCTCCAATCTGTTCACTTCTCTCTTGTCACTGCCACCACCTTCAGTCACCGGGACTACATAGTAGTATCTAGATCAGTGGTTCTCAACCTTCCTAATGCCGCGACCCTTTAATACAGTTCCTCATGTTGTGGTGACCCCCAACCATAAAATTATTTTCGTTGCTACTTCATAACTGTAATTTTGCTACTGTTATGAATCGTAATGTAAATATCTGATATGCAAGATGTATTTTCATGGTTACAAATTGAACATAATTAAAGCATAGTGATTAATCACAAAAACAATATGTCATTATATATTCAATATGTGTTTTCTGATGGTCTTAGGCGACCCCTGTGAAAGGGTAATTTGACCCCCTAAGGGGTCGCGACCCACAGGTTGAGAACCGCTAATCTAGATGGTGTCAATGCCGATCGGCCTCTCCCTAAAGTTAGTCTCCAGCATCCAAATGCTTTTAAAATGCAGATCTGATCTTGTCACTTTTCTGGTTAAAATCCTTCTGTGACTTCTCTTTGCTCTTAATACCCAAAGTCTTCACAACATCGCTTACAAGGCACTGCCTGTCTGGCCCACACCGACCCTTCTCGTGTCACGTGGCCTTCTACCCCCTGCACTGTGCCCTGGCCTCCTGGGCCCTCCAGCTCTTTGAATGTGTCAGGCTCCTTTCTCCTTAGGGCTTTCAGACTTCCACACCCACTGGCCCTCTTCCCCAGCAAACTTCCCAACTTCTGCTCCTTCCCACTAACTCTGTCTTCCTCCAGATCCCAGCTACATGTCACTTCCTCAGGAAAGCCTTCCCCTCTCTGTCCCCCCAGACTCTTAGCCCCTCCCCTTCATAGCTGTTATCAAAATAGTAATTAATTGTGTGCTTACTTGATTAATGTCTGTCTCCCTCTAGAATGTAAGCTCCAGGAAGGTAGACCATGTCTGTTTCGTTCACCCTGTATCCCCAGTCCTGGTTCATGGTGGGCACTTGATAAAGCTTTTTAAAGGACTGAATGTAACTTATCTGAACCTCAGCTTCCTCCTCTATAAAATGGGATAGCCAGAGAGGAGGACGTGAGAGTCGAGTGAGATAAAATTAACAGCAATAATGTTGTGGGCTTTTATAGAAGCAAAGCACTATTCTATATGATCGCATTTGTGCATAAAAGTGCTTTTTAAGCCAAAAAGTAGCATGCATATAAAAGGAGTTGTTTTTACTCTGTTCAGTGAAAGGTTAACTTGAGAAGCACACTATGGGAGGTGGCAGCAAGTCGGGAGTGGCAGATGTAACCTGGGAAAGCAAGCCCTGTCCCAGATGGGCATCCCCCCTGCTCTCCTCCCTCGGGGAGCAGGGAGAGTTACCCGGTCCAGAAACCTAATCAAATGTGCCTTTGTTAGCCGTTTCAAAGCCGCCACTGAATGTGGTGTGTGTGCCTTGAATTTGTAATAGATGTAGAGGGCAGGGAGAGGACAGTGGACCTCCTTTTGGGTGGAAACGCTTCTACTGCTCAGTAAACTGGAAGCCTTTTCAGTTGAGACCTCTGAGAAAATGCAGAGGAAGTGGGTGCGGCCAGTGTTCTTTGCCCTTTCTTCACTCACCATTTCACTCACCTGTTTCAGCTCTCTAGGCAGTGACTTCTTATGTAATTGTTGTTTTTCACAGGGCAACCCAGATGAAAGAGTCCTAGTGAACTCACTTCCAGCCCAGAAAACATGGAGAGGAAAAACCCGTCCAGAGAGAGCCCCAGAAGACTCTCGGCCAAACTAGGCAAAGGCACAGAGATGAAAAAAGTGGCTCGTCAGCTCGGCATGGCAGCGGCCGAGTCAGACAAGGACTCCGGATTTTCAGGTTAAAATACCTCGTTCTTCTACATTGTAATGAATGATTTGCCTGAAAGAGGTCCTCCCTCAAACTCCTTTGTGTGATAGGGATGGGAAACTTTCACATACAGAATAAATATCTGATCTCTTAAAATGACAATTCTGGTGCCACATGGCAGGGTACCGATCAGAGTCACCACGGGGTTAGTTCTGAAGGAGTGATTTGACATCTTTTTTAAAAAATATATATTTATATTTATTTCAGAGAGGAAGGGAGAGGGAGAGAGAGATAGAAACATCAATGATGAGAGAGAATCATTGATCGGCTGCCTACTGCACGCCCCACACTGAGGATCGAGCCTGCAACCCAGGCATGTGCCCTGACTGGGAATCAGACCAGGACCTCTTGACTCATAGGTCGATGCTCAACCATTAAGCCACGCTGTCCAGGGGATTTGACATCTTTTTTCAACTCAATTTTAAATCTTACAACTGTTGCAAGTAGTTACTGGAAAAAATATTTAAGGGCTCATAATTCTGTTGTTTTCGCTCCTTTTTCATAGGAATAGTTAGATTGCAGGAAAAATACTGCATGTTGTTACCATGTAACAAATTAAAACAAAAAGAGTATACAATTTGTTAAAGTAACTTTTTTGCTAAGAAAGTAATTTTGCTTTGTTTACAAATGTTTCTCCTCTACAACCCATCCTCCCAATATCCATGTATTTCGCATTTGGACTTGAGTATCTATTAGAGACAAGAAAGGAGACCAGTTTTCCTTACTAGTTTGTCCAAACCTTACCTGAAAGGGCTAGCTGCATACCCGGTGAACCTTTCAATTTTGTGCTGAGGCACCTTTATTTCCAGGTCTGAGAGTAGTGGCTTGACATACCATAGCTCTAGTGTCAACATTTTGGCCCAGGGATGCAGAAAGGTGATGCTAGGGGATTCTGGCTGGGTTAGCACCCTGGGATGGAGCCCTCTCCTAGATGAAGACTTAATGTTATCCTCACAGAGACTAATCAGTCCATGCTCCTGATTTATTAACTTACACTGAGAAATATAGCTGTTAGGAATGCTAGATCTGCCTCATCCTTAGATTGGTATATTATATTTCCTCCCCGTAGGAAGGCTGTGTGAGAAGCCAAATTATAAATAGACTGTTGCTCAGAGAAGAACAGAGCACCTACTGACGGAGGGATTAGAATAAGGACAGTCGGGAAGCGAAGGCCAACGTGTAGCCCTTTGGTTTTTCTTCTCTGTCGCTTAGCACTGTTTCCTAAACTTGCCTCATCATAAGGCTCATCTGAGGCATTTGTTAAAAACACTGCTCGCCAGACCCCGCTCCTGGACGCTGTGATGTTGAGGGCCTTGGGGGAGGGCCTGGAATGTGGGGGTTATTTTTTGTGTCTGGTGAGTTGTGTAATCAGACAGGTTTGGGAAACACTGCAGGCTTACTGTCTCTGTCTTTTTTTAAGGTCATGTTTGTTTTCATCTGTTTTTCATATCACAAAGGTGATACATGCTCATTGTAGAAGCTTAGAAATGTAGAAACTTGGAAAGAAAAATATAAGCATTATCTATCATCCCACCACCTATTTTTTCTCAATACTGTTGACATTTTGGTACCTCTCTTTCCCACAACTTCAGGCAGTTGTTATGTAGTATGTCCCAAAGTCTGGATGGTGTTTCTGATAGTTTCCTTATTCTGTAGAAGTGCTTTAAGAAGTGTTGTGCTGGTCAGACACAGGCAGTGTTAAAACCAATCAAACTGGTTGTGCTCCAGAAAGTGACCCCAGTGAATGCCTCCAGCCACATCTGGGCCAGGTGCCAGTGATTTCGTCACTGCCTGAGTTATTATTTCAGTCACTTGGTGAATGATGTAATCTGTGATTTTTAAAAAATACGTTTTTATTGATTTCAGAGAGGAAGGGAGAGGGAGAGAGAGAGAAACATCAATGATAAGACAGAAGCATCAATTGGCTGCCTCCTGCATGCCCCCTACTGGGGATGGAGCCCGAAACATGGGCAGGTGCCCTTGATTGGAACTGAACCCAGGACCCTTCAGTCCGCAGGCCGGCTCTCTATCCACTGAGCCAAACCGGCTGGAGCTAATCTGCGATTTTTAATTAGCTGCAGTCCATAGTCAGAGTTTGCCCATTGTCCCAGTAGTGTCCTTTTTAACTGTGAGTCTTTTGGTCCGTTTGTTTTAGATCCTGGGTCCATTGACGATTGTACATTTCTTTTAGTTGTCCTGTCTTTTTAGTTTTATTTAATCTAGAGCAGCTCCCTCATCTTTCCTATCCTTTCCTTTTTTATTCTTTAATGACATCGACATCTTTGAATGAGTTAGGCCTGTTGTTCTGTAGAATGTCCCACACTCTGGATTTTTCTGATAGCTTCCCCATTACTCGAATCAGGATAACATTTTTTTACAGCCTACTGCACTTTTTCTGTTATATCCTTCTCATTGCACACATAAGGAGACTCTTATGTTTGTCTTATTCTTGCTGGTGCTCTGGTTGATCACTTGGTTAAGGTGGTGTTTACACTTGCTTAAGGTAGCATATACCAGATTTTTTCAATGTAAAAGTACCCTTTTTTCTTTGTAATTATAAGCAATTTATGAGATGGTATTTTGAGATTGTATGACTATTCTTCTCCCCAACAAACTCTTGACCTGTGGCTTTGGCATCCATTGATGATCTTTGCCCAAATCAAGCACTACATGTGTGGTTCTGACTTAACTGCAAGTGTTGACAGTTGTCCTCATTTAAATTAAAGTTTCATTCCGGGCCTGCCTCATCTAGTTGACTCTGTGATTCCTGATGAGCATTTAGGGTATCCCCAGACGCCTCCTAGCAGGGTTACAGCAGTCTCTGGGGATGCTCCAGTAGATAGCTAACTAAGTCCTTTGTGATGGATTCACGGAGGGCATTCTTATTTTCTTGGCCTTGGAGAGTATCTATCACCCGATGTGCAGGGTCCCAGTAGACACAGCAACAAAGGAGATGTCTAACCGGGTAGAGGGAACAACAATGACAGACACATTTTAAACCTCAGCTTTGATGAACTTATCCAGAATTTACAATTAGAAAACTTAGGAAGAAGCTCTTTCAATTTCCGCATGGATGTAAGTTTTAAGGTTTTGTGTTTATTATTTTTTACAATATATTTTTATTTCTGAGAGGAAGGAAGAGGGAGAGAGAGATAGAAACGTCAATGTGAAAGTAATGAAATGAACTAACTTTGAAGCCTTCCACCCAGTTCTGTAGACTGGTGATGATTACTTTCACAGGAACCTGAATTGATGCAGGCTTTTGTCTGTAAGAGTTAGAAAGGAGTCCTCGGGCAGTCATTCCTATCTTTGGGGGCAGAGGTGATAATTATGGATGCCTTTGAGAGTCCAATGAAAGCTAAAGACCCTCTCCTCAGAAAAATGCACAAAAACCCATCTCACAAATGTTCCATTCAGTTTCAAGGAGTCCCGCCACTCCCCAGGAGGCCTGGTTACCAGCCTCTAGCCTAGAGCCTGGGTGAACTGTCCGTTTTCCTGCCCACCAGATGGGAGTTCGGAATGTCTGAGCTCGGCGGAGCAAATGGAGTCCGAGGACATGCTGAGCGCCTTAGGCTGGAGCCGGGAAGACCGGCCAAGACTGAACTCCAAGGCTGCGAGCAGTGCCTTCCCCACTCTGTCCCCCATGGTCGTCATGAAGAACGTGCTGGTCAAACAGGTGAGGGGGGGTGCAAGTTCAAGTGCCTGGGCTTCCTGTGTGCAGAGGCTCCCCTCCGCCCGGGAGGGATTTAGACGCAGAGCACTAGAACCACGCCGCCGAGTACTCTGTCCTGGGGAAAGGATGTTTCCTTTCAACTACTGACAGTGTTTAAAAAGGACTCCAGGACAGCAAGACTATTTTATTTCTGTATCCCTAGTTTATCCAGAGGAGCACCGGAATTCTTTAGTCATGTATAAAAGAACCAAGCAGAAATGTCATAACTTTCATAGTACAGTTAATAGATGACAGAATTCAGGGTATAAACAAAAGAATCTCTTTTTAACTTGAAATGCCCTGGGAATTTAGAAATGTAGGATGCATTTATTTGTTTGAGAAGTGGAGGCAATTTCCATGTTTCTCCTGTCACATTCTGAGCCTTTTCTTAGTAATCAGCCAAGGACGTGCCGTTAGAGGAAAAGCAGCTCTTTGGTTAAGGTATGGCTGCCCCAGCAGAGACTGCACGGCATTGCTGTGGAGCTGAAACACATCCTGTTGGGGCTTGATTACATAACTACGCATAATATGTGATTATTGTCCAGATATGCAAGAAAAGATTTAGATGAAAATCTAAGCCCCCATGTTTGGAACCAAGAACTTAATCAGATGAACTGGGTTCAAGAACACTTAACCTTACCCTGCTTTGCTCTAAAATATATCAGCTCTCCCATGGGGCCATTGATGAGGCTGCTGGAAGCTAGGACATTTGAAACTGGCTTTATGCTGCTGACCTTCCAGCTCAGGTAGAAGAACATACACGGCTGTAGCCTGACATGAAACCTTATGTCTCAACTATTACCTAGTTATTTCCGAGGAACACAAACGGATTTTCAACAAGGCAATCTGGTGAGTTTGGACAAAGAATTTGGAAATTTTTGCGTGACAAATCACCTCAGCAGGAAAAACAGCTCTGCTTATTGAAACGAAGAGCGAGAATAAAGACACGTAATGGAGCCCAGATGAGCTTGTCCAGACCCCATCAGTGCTGTGATGCTTCTCAGGGCTTCCTTTCTCCTGGCTCTTTCTGTCCCCGCCTTCCTCTCTGGCTCCCTGTTTGTCAGTCCTTCCTGTGTGTCTGTGTTTATATGCCTTCTTTGTTGTAGGCAGGCTGGCAGCTCCCCAGGGCGGAGAACAGCCCACAGTTGAGGAGTGGGTAGGCTTTTCCAGCAGAGCTGCATTCTCCAGGACAAAGGCCTGCCGGGAGGCTGCTGGCTCCATCAGCAGATGGGAGGCTTGGGGCGGGCGGACCTGATGGAGTCGTCTAGGAGTTTCGTCTTGTTTTTTCACACGTTAGAATCCAGCACATTCCAACATTAAAATAGTGATATACTTTTTAAAATATGTGTATTTTGTGTAATGTCTTGGTTTTATTTTATTTTTTATATATATACTACAGCAGTGGTCGCCAACCCGTAGTCTGTGAGGACCGAAAGGTTGGTGACCACTGGTTTCAGGAAACCTTTGGAGCAGCAGTTACCAGCCCATGGTCTGAAGACCACTGGTGGTCCGTGAGATCCAAAAGGTTGGTGACGCTGTATTAGAGGCCCGATTCATGCACCAGTGGGGCCCCTTGGCCTGGCCTGTGGGGATCGGGCCGAAACCAGCTCTCCGACATCTCCTGAGAAGTCCCAGATTGCGAGAAGACATAGGCCAGGCCGAGAGACCCCACAGGTGCACGAATCCATGCACTGGGCCTCTAGTATGCATATAAGATCTTTGGTTAATCTCTTCCTGCCCTCCCCCCACCCCACTTCCCTCTGAGATTCATCAGTCTGTTCCATGTTTCCATGCTGGTGGTTTCCGCTCCTCTGTTGAGTGTCTGCCCCCTGGTGGTCAGTGCATGTCATAGCTACCAGCTGGTTGGCTGGTTGCTTAGGCTTTTATATATATAGATATTTTTTATTATTTCAGAGAGAGGGAGAGAGGGATAGAAACATCAATGATGAGAGAGAATCATTGATCGGCTGCCTCCTGAACACCCGCCACTGGGGATCGAGCCCACAACCCAGGCATGTGCCTTGACTGGGAATCGAACCGTGACCTGGTTCATGGGTCGACACTCAACCACTAAGCCACACCAGCTGGGCTAATGTCTTGGTGTTAGATACTTTTCTTTTGAAGGTCTGATTCCAGTTCTGCCACTCGACTGTGATCTTGCACACAATTACTTAATCACCTGGGCTTCAGTTTCCTCATCTTCAATGTGAAGGCTTCGTGGAAAATGACCCTGAGATTGTATCCAAGTCTAAAATCTTGTGCCGTATTCCCTCAGATTTTTTCAACACAAATAATATATTGTAAAATCTAATAATTAAAACCAGTAAGCTAAGTATCTACTACAGCAATGGGCATAGCAGCATTAGGAAGAATCCAGTGAAATCAGCTTAGGAAAGCAGTGAATTAGAAATTTTCTGGATCCGTTTGCCTCATAGTAGGTCCACCCGTAGGGCATGAGTGACTAGGGGTCCACCCGTAGAGCCTGATGTTTTCCTTCTGACTGAGCTGGACTAGGCTGATGTCTGCTTCGAAAGACCCCTGCTTTTGGATCTGCTCTGACAGGGAAGTGTGGTGCTAGGCCTAGCACTGCTTGCTTACGTAGTACATCCAGCGTATATCTGAATACCAAGAGGGCTTCAGAATGGACTCTCCAGGTGATCCCAACTTTTGCATAGGAGATGAACTATAGCTGGCCTAACGTTCTAGCCACACATCGAGGAAGCTCAAAGGTGTGCAAAATGGTGGGCACGTGTGGGAGATAGCTCTCTTCAGCAGTGACCACCCCACCAGCTCATATCTTTGGGACCAGGTTGGAACTGGACTGGCTTTTAAATATTGGAAAAAGATAGCCATGCCCTTCTTTATTAGCTTTCCATCTGAATCAGTACTTTAATTAAAAATGAAAATGCATAACTGAGGAGTAATATAACAAAGGCAATGTAGCAGAATGGTTAGGGTGGGTTTTAGAGCCAGCTCTGTCACTTAGTATCTTGTTGACTTAAAGCAAGTTATTTCAACTTTCTACACCTCAGTTTTCTGTTTGTGAAGGGAAATGATCACTACCTCACAGGGTTGTTATGGAAACAATCCATGTAAAACATCACACACAGTGCTAGCTTGTAGTAAGCACCAATACCTGATAACTGTTATTATCTTGAGTGGTTTTATGATTGTTGGGTGTCACTGCCTTAAAAAGGGGGCCCATGGACTCCTGACAATATGTGTTCAGGTAAAAGAGGGTCCAGATGTAACTAAATGAAGACAGACTCTTGTGTAAAGTCACATTTGTAGTCTTGAAATGAACACATTTTAACCATGCCAAGCAATTGTATTACCCATATTTTTATTGCCTCAATTGTGACCTTAACTATGTCATTACTTCATCTATCTACAGTTTCTCTTCCTGAGTGGTAGCACTTGAATAAAAATAGGTATTTCCTTCAGTTTTGCCTTAGGAAAAGTGTAAAAAAAGAAAGAAAGGAAGAAATTATAGCCCTACCTGGTTTGGCTCATTGGATAGTGTGTCAGCCTGTGGACCAGAGGGTCCCAGGCTTGATTCGGGTCAAGGGCATGTACCTCGGTTGCAGGCTCCTCTCCAGCCCGGGCCCTGGTCAGAGCGTGTGCAGGAGGCAACCAATTGATGTGTTTCTCTCACATTGATATTTCCCTCTGTCTTTCCCTCTTTCTTCCACTCTCTCTAAAATCAATGGAAAAATATCCTCAGGTGAGGATTAAAAAAAAAAATTATAATGGCAGGCCCAAATGGATTTTTAAGCCACTTTTCCAATCACGCTCTTCAGAAAGGGCTACCTGTTTTGTGAGGGAAGCTCTGTACGTGAAATTGTTGTAAATCTCTGCTTTGCCCCTTAGCAGAAGCAGGTAACAAGGAGTGTGCTGTTTTCATCTGCTTTCAGGGCAGCAGCTCATCCCAGCTCCAGTCATGGACCGTCCAGCCCTCCTTCGAAGTGATCTCGGCACAGCCACAGCTCCTGTTCCTTCACCCGCCTGTGCCATCGCCTGTCAGCCCATGTCACGCTGGCGAGAAAAGGTCCGACTCCAGGAACTACTTGCCCATTCTGAATTCTTACACCAAAATAGCCCCACACCCAGGCAAAAGGGGCCTCTCCCTCAGCCCAAAAGAGAAAGATCGTGGAACGCAGAAGAAAATCTGTACTGAGAGACCTGGGCCGAGCCTGCCCGCCAGTGAGCCCACCAAGACAGGTGCTGTGTCATCCAGTCCCCCGATTGCAGCGCCCCCCAGTGCCAAGCTGGTGGAGGACTCAGCTCTGCAGGGTGTGCCCTCCCTCGTGGCAGGCGGAAGTCCACAGACTCTTCAGCCCGTGTCCAGCAGCCATGTGGCTAAAGCTCCCAGCTTGACCTTTGCTTCCCCTGCCAGTCCTGTCTGCGCATCAGACAGCACTCTGCATGGGGTAGAGAGCACCTCCCCCCTGTCACCACTGTCAGCTAATTATAGCTCACCTTTGTGGGCCGCAGAGCACCTCTGCCGCAGCCCAGATCTCTTCTCAGAGCAGCTGCCCAGCAAACACAGGCGCTTTCAGAACACCCTTGTAGTCCTGCACAAGTCCGGCTTGCTGGAGATCACTTTGAAAACCAAGGAGCTGATTCGTCAGAACCAGGCAACACAGGTGGAGCTAGACCAGCTAAAGGAGCAGACCCAGCTGTTTATAGAGGCCGCCAAGAGCAGGGCTCCTCAGGCTTGGGCCAGGCTGCAGGCATCGCTAACACTGGGGGCTAGTCATGCTGGCGGTGACCTAGAAGCATTCTCTGATCACCCAGACATATAGCACAGAAGGCAGACTTTCCTGTTACTTGAGTGGTTCTTTTTAACTTTCTTGCTGTTATCTTACTCCTGTTTCCCAAAGCTTATGTAAGGTCTTTTCCTTCTACTCTTAAACTGTTCAACAGTTCACTTATGAAGCCTCATGCCAATCCCTGGCTGCTGTCTTAACCTGTGGTCTGTGCCCAGTTTACATATGTCTCTGTTCCACTGAGGACCTCAGATTCTGGGTGTCCTTGAGTCCCTTTTCCTTAGCCTGCAGGTGCTTAGGTGGGTCACGGGGCAAAGCAGAAAAGAGGAGTGTGTGGAGCTCTAGCTGTCACCTCCCACCGTCCCAGTCACTAACCCTGATCACCTCCCACTGTCCCACTCACTAACTGATCAGAGGTGCAGTGATATGGATGAGTGTACTGAATGACACCTGTCAAGCCAGGGAGTAGGTGACAAGGATCCCTTCCCAGATCTTCCCTTGAATATCTTAGAGAAAAATAAGAGGTGTGGTTGCATTCCTTAAGGCATCATGCCATTTGGCCAAAACCTAAAATGCTTTGGGCACAGGCTGGGCCTAGGGAGCAAACACTTAATGACTTAAAGCTTTGTTTTCTTGAACTTGAAAGTCAAGGGAAAAGGGTGGTACCGTTTAACTCTGACACTTTCATCACAAACCAGGTTTCTCTTCACTTAAACTGGTAGGCAAAATAACTTCAGCTTTTTAAAGTATGGAACGGATGCAGTACCATCTGGAGTTACAGTCGATGAATTGCTTTTCTGAGTTAGAGTCTGAAGAAACACATGGTCAGTATCTCTTGGTCAGGAGCTGGAAGATTCCAGTAATTTGTGCTTTTTTTCTTTCTACTTTTGAAACAATACAACCTGTTTTATGTGTGAAAATCTTAAAGATAGCTTCATGGTGCCTGAGAGTGAGTGAGTGGTGTAAATTAACCCTCTGCTGCCACTTTTTCTTCTTTTGTTTTACTAAAAGAGGAAAGATGTGATTATTAAGCTCGATAGATTTGGGATTAAAATCATCCTAATAATTTTCATAAAATTATATGAAATATAAGCCCACAAAGTTGGCTTCTTACCAGTTTCGCCTCCAAAGCTTTCGTGTGACGCACAGTGACCTGGAGCAAGCAGGAGCAGCGCCTTCTGTGTTTCTGCCATGCGTTGGGTATTGGCAGCAAGCCCAGAGGTGTGGTGGTGTGTATGTGATGTTCACCTGGGAATGGAGGCTGTGATGGGAATTTACAGACACACATGCTTTCAGCTTCATCGTCAAGGTAAGCTGGATTCTAACAGTAAAGCTTCAAACTTTTCCTCCTCTCATTTAAAAATATTATCCTCTTGAAAACCTAAATAACAACTTCTGGATGACCAGCTTTTACACAGGAAAATGTTCTTGAAGTTTTACCAAGGCCAGAAAGAAGCTAAAGCTCATATCTGCTAGGTAGTGGTAACTCTAACGTAGTTTAAAAATTACAAGGCTTTGGATCGCCTCCACTTTATTCTCAAACGTGCATGAGTTAGGTAAGGCCGATTTACTAGTAGAAATAAATAACTTGGTAAAATCTCTAGACTCCTGATTAACGCAGAATTATTACCTGCCGTTTGCTTTCTGAAAGAGTGTCAGAGATCAGAGCCAGTGTGTCTTTAAGCAGACCCAGCTCCTTCGAGTATTTTGTCTGGGCCTCCCCCCTCTGCCTCCCCAAGTCTGCGGTACCACAGCAGCTCTGCTCGCGCACCATGCCAGGAAGCTTCCTTTTTGGCAGAATGCATTTGGCGGCAGAGCTACAGAGACAGGTGCGTTCGGAACAGCCTGGCACTAGCCGTGAGTCTTACTGAGTGTCAAAATCTGAACACAATTGCTGAGAACCAAATTTATTCCATCCGAAAACCTTCTGGAGCTCTAAGCCTCTTGGAATCTTCTTCCCAGATTAAGGTTTGCATTCCCTTCTGTCACAGTAAAAGATGACGAAAGCCATCGTTGATCCTCACAGCTCTTGTCTGGCCTTATGACTTAGTGCTGGAAGTCTCTAAGCTCTTAGCTTGGGTGCTTGTTGTCTAGTGGAGCTTGGGGTAGGCGAAGCCACGTAGGAGAGTCCATTGAAGCTAGCAGACATTGGGGCCAGGGGCCATTTCAGCAAATGGAGGAAACTTGGAGTTGACCAGAAAGACCTCTGTTGGTTGCACAAGGCTGATGTGATCTGGTATGATGTCCCGCGGCGGAGCTACTGGTTTCTGAATGTGTGAAGCCATTCTTAGCTCAAATCAGTCCTTCTGGCAGATTTTGTTGGCAATATTAAAAAAAAAAAAATAGAAAAAGCTGCTGATTGAATTGGTTATGGGAATGGAGTTTAATGACATTGTAATTTATTGCTCTCATTACTGTTTATTGATTATAGTATTGTCTGACTTTATTGATTCCTTCAGCAGAAGGTAACTCGTGCATATATCGAAGTGTTTTTCCAGTTATGAGTTCTTTAGGGTAGAGATTCCTTTACCAAATGTGAATTCTTTTGAAGAAGTATGAAGTTTTGTAGAAATTGACTGTGAAATGTCAGATTAAAATAAAAGACACATACTTGAAAATTATTTGGCCTTTTTGCTTTATAACTGCTTAAAAATACTAAGTGAAACCTAGAGTAAATATTTGAATTGATTTAAGTTTTGAACATATGTACTCATGTCATTTGGGCAGTTTGGGATTAGATACTGAACTTGCAGAAATTTATTGTTCGGACTTTGACCAGTGTGCAAGCAATCTTGAGGCAAATGAATGGCCCAGTGTTCCCTAGAGTCTTGGACGTTTATATTGGGTAGGTTGGAAGGAGAGGAGAATAGAGTCCAATTATTTCTTCCATCTGATCTGACACTTTCACATAGAGAATTTTTAAGTGACAAAACTTCAGTTGTCCACTACGGGATAAACTAAAGCCACGTTAAGTGAAGTTCTTTCTACAACAGACGTGCATCTCCAAGCCTTTCTCCACGAGTTCCGAGTTGATTCCTAATGCTCTGTTCCTCCTCAGGCTTCACCTAGAGAATCCCAAAAGGTTGTGGTGCCCCTAAGGCCAGTCAGGATACCCCTCCTGGGATTTTTAAGACATTGGAAAAATTAAAAGCTTGTCCTCATTTAAAGGCCTACAGAGATGCCATGGTTTTAATGCTTACAGCACTATTTCTCTCCAAAACAATTTTCTGTCACTTAGAATCCAGACAAGGGAGAGCACCCAGAGTGGACCCTGCGAGACGGAGGAGAGCACCGTTGTTTGAGTGGGTAGCCCCTGGCCCCCTGCGCATGGAAATAATTCCACCTAGACGCCTGTCTAGACGCCTGTTCGTGAACATGTCTGTTTAGTCCACATCTTTCATGGCTGGTGTGCTGGGGTCAACAGACCTGCACATGCCTGTCACGTGTTACTCATTAGCTAGGTGACTTTGGATCAGTCACTGGGCCTGCCTAGGTGTCACTCCTCTCACTGAATAATAAAGTATTGGACCTGGTCTCTCCATAGTTTTCAGCTCTAACCATTTGTAAGACCTCTACCTAGGTTACAGCTGAGTCATAAAATTAATAGATTTTTTTATTTATTTTTATTTATTTATTTATTTATTTTACCTACAATTTAGGTTCCTAGTGCTCTGTTAGGATGGCTTTATATTACAGTCAGACTTTTACTGCAGGTGACTCTGGAAGAACCTTTTTGCTAGTCTGTATTCATTGGTTTTGCCTTCCTTGCAGCTAACATGGATTCACTAATTCCCGTATAAAAGACTACTCCCAAAGACTTATTAGCCCCAAAGGAGAATAGCTTGGGGTTAAATCAAATCAGGGTCTTTCCTAGTCAGTCATCTGCAAAAGCTCTTTCCTCTCATCTGAGAGGAAGGACTGACCTGGTTTTATGTTTCAGAGAGTATGTCATTTAGCTTTTCTTTCCTTCCTGATTTCTCTCCCACAGCCAGGAAGGATGTTCCCGCGTGTTCTTTGTCATAGAAGGATGTCACGTGACATCCAGGGTCGTGGTGAAGTGCGAAACAATGACTCTGACGGGTTTTTAAGCTGCTCCACAGAGCAAGGCAGGCTCCTTATCCTTTAGGGTTGTCATTTGCTTGGGACAATTAAGACTTTTACCAAAACCTTATTTACAACTAATGGGAAGAGAGCAAATCTCAACTCATCCTGTCTGATTTCTTGGAAGGAGTTCATCTGTGGGTCCAACCACTTTGGCGTTTTCTTCTCAGAATTCCTCCTTTTTTCTTAGAACACGTGGCTTTCCTGTCTCTCTTTCTGAAGGGTGGTTATGCAAGACATTAGAGAGCTGCTTGCAAGAACAGCCTGGATGGTTACTGCCTCAGATTGCAGCAGCTGGAGGAGATGAGCAAGAGAGAGAGAAGCCTGTGGAGTCTGAAGTCAACCCAGCAAGTGGGTGGGAGCTGCGAGGAGAGGAGGGGAATAAAAACGGAAAGCAGGACCCTGCCCGCCTGCGCGAGGACCCCTGCCAGGTTGCGTGATTAGCGAGCCCCAGGCCTTCAGAGCTGCTTGAGAGCCCGAGAGTAAAAATAGCCACCTCTGATTTTCCTAAAGACTCAGGAAGCCAGTGGTTCTGGGGGAGTGCTCGATAGTTCTGGAAAACGTCTCTGTAACAGAGGCGGCCTGGGTCTCTTGTCTCCGGGGCCTCCCCTACTTCCACCGCTGGGTGGGGAGATGGGAGAGCTTGGCCTGGAACCTGCCCTTGGGCACGTTTAAGCTTCCTCTCTTCCCCTGCCTTTGGGGCAGTTTATTAATTTGTAGAAGGAGGAAGCAGAAATGGTGATGTCAGCCCAGCTCCCTGTCGGGTGTGCTTTTACTATCTTGGTATAGGTGCAGGTTTTGGTTTTTCAGGTGCTCCCTCAGCAGGCGCTGCCTCGTATTGAACAAACGCAGGTGAGCCTGGTTCTGAGGTGTGGTCCTCCTAGTGCACGGTCACGTCTGAGCCCTCTGCTCCCCAGTGAGCCTTCTGGGCTTCTCCTGAGTGTCATTGCTGCCCTGGAGAGGCAAGGGAGTGTTCACTGACACCAGCGGTTCTCAACCTGTGGGTCGCGACCCCTTTGGCGGTCGAACGACCCTTTCACAGGGGTCGCCTAAGACCATCCTGCATATCAGATATTTACATGACGATTCATAACAGTAGCGACATTACAGTTATGAAGTAGCAACGAAAATAATTTTATGGTTGGGTCACAACATGAGGAACTGTATTTAAAGGGCCAGAAGGTTGAGAACCACTGACTTACACAGACCCCACAGGAGAGGAAGGGCCGGGAACTGCCCAAAGCACAGCCCAGGGTACCCACAGCCGCCAGCAAAGTCACAAGTGTGGTTTAGGCAGCCTGCTTTCACTAGGGGTCCCGGCACTCGGCAGGCCGAGGGGGCCAGGAGAGCTAAGGTGAAAGTCTCTTTTTAAAGCCTCCAAGTTGATGCTTGTCTAGTCAAGATGTATTTGGAAGAATGCATTGCTTTCATTCTTGAAGCATTTTCTGAGCCTCAGTTACACTGTGAAGACTCTAACTAGTTAGTAGTTAGCTAGTAAGTTCCTAATGCTGCTGTTGCATTGGTCAGATTGGCCCGCCAGCTGCAGGGGATTGGGAAATGAGGGAGCGCACGCACTGAGTGGGTGGTGAATGTCTCTATCACACTATTTGCTTCTAGTCGTGAGAAAAAAGGGCTTTGGGACATACAGGGTCAGAGGTGAGCAGGCACTTGACTCAGCCTCAGGGTAGATCCCTCTTTAGAAACCTTTAAACTTCCTCAAATATGTGGCCCTCACTACTCCGTTTTCAACACACACCCTTCAAATTTGTATATTCTCAAACCCTGATCATTTCCATTTGTGAAAGTTTTCATGATTCCTGAAGCTCACCTGATCCAACATTGTCACTGAAGTTGTTACTTCAGGGTAACAAATACATGAAGTCATCAACACATATATGTCGCCGATGCTGACCTGGTTGTAGGGTATAAACTGGGAAAAGAAACAGAGGTGGCCCCTGCTGATATTCTAGTGAGAGGGTAGCAATGACCATAATCAATTAGTCACCCCTTTGATAGTTTGGATTTCACTGGGTCTTATACATCCAAAGTTGGGCATGTAAGCCTGGTTAAAGTGATACGTTCTACTCCTACTTTTATTTCGGAGATTAACATAACACTTTGATAACCTTTGGGTTTAACAACCTTTGATTAGGGCAAGAGTCCTTCATTAAAGGACTCCTAATCACCCCAGAATGTACCATAATGTCTAGTAGCTGAGAACAGAAGTGTTGATAAAGGTACAATATATTAATCGGTTGGTAGATTCACCTCCACACCCAAACACGCTAGGAGAGAGTTCTCGGAAGTGAACTATCCTGTTGGGTGACTCACCTTCAGACTCCTGAGCTCATCCACAACGGCACCTGTGTCTGCTTTCCTCGGCCTTCGCCCAGCCGCTGCCAACAGAAGCATGCGCACAACCCAAGCATAAGCACCTTCCCAAGTTTTGCAGTAGGCACCTTGCTTGTCTCATGCTAATCCTGTCCCTGGCAGCACCAACCCTTACTGAGGCCCAGGACCTACAGAAGATCACACGTGGTCCCAGCCTGGGAGCCCTCACAGCTGAGCCAGAGGACATGACTCACAGGGAAAGTAGAAACTCAAGGTAGTATGGCCTGGTGCCCAAGGCCAACTTCAGACCGGAGTGGAGAGCACTCCAAAGCTTCAAAAGGAACTCGGGGCAAGTTGAGATGATGGGAACAGCGTTTTCGCCAAAGGAAAGAACATGCGTAGAGGCATCAGGGTGAGATGGGAATATCATGGCTTTGGGTCTGGATGTGTGTGATCCTAGCAAGTACAACCTCTCTGGGCCTTGTTTCCTCATTTGTTAGGTTACTGATTGAGCCACAATGTATAAAGTGTCTAGAACAGTGGCCTCACATGGGGGGGTGCTCCATAAACAGTCATCAGGATTGTTACTGTAGCCCAGCCAGTATGGCTCGGTGGTTGAGCGTCTACCTATGAACCAGGACGTCAGGGTTCGATTCCTGATCAGGGCACATCTCCAGTGGGCTTGATCCCCAGTAGGGGGCGTGCAGGAGGCAGCCGATCAATGCCTCTCTCTCATCTTGAAGTTTCTATCTCTGTCTCCCTCTCCCTTCTTCTCTGAAATCAATAAGCATATTTTTTTTAAAAAAAGAAAAAGATTGTTACTGTAGCCGTTGAAGGAGTGAGGATGGGCCGGCTGAGCTGGCCTCAGTCCAAGTCAACCTTTCACTTTGTACTTCCAAGCAGTGAGCAGCAAACCAGCGCAGTTCCCACCCTGCCTCCCACACCCTGCTGTACCCAGAACAGAGCCCCTCCTTGGAACACACCTGGTGGAGTACTTGGCAAGCATGCTCTCCCAGCCTGTCCCAGGCCCCACCCCTCTTCAGGGCTCTACAGCCAAGGGGTGGGGAGCTATTGAGGAACAACGGTATTGATTGTCGGCCACACCCTAACCAGGATCCTTAATGTCACTCCTTGCCCATACAACCCGTTCTCCACAGCTGTATCAGATGAACTTTATTAATCCCCTCTT